CACAAAATTTCTTGTCGAGTAATCTCACGTGAAATATCCCGCACTTTTACTATGGTGAAACTTACCCAATCAAGAAAATGCTCACTTTTGTCATTTTCACTAGGTTTCGAGTAGGGATCCTCAAGAGAGGGATCGGACTAAGCGGGTATCGTTTTCTATTGGTCGGCGACCATTGGTTTCAAAACCGGAAACAGAGAGAGAAAGAGCGAGCGAGTAAGAGAGATAGAGCCATACACACACGCGTGCGCGTGACCGTAAATCGCAACGAAACGAGGAGAGGAGAGCGAGTAAACAGAAAACCGCGTCGTCACGGTATACCCTGTCGTCGTCGCCGTCGTCGTCGTCGTCATCGTTATCGTCGTCGTCGTCATCGTCGTCATCGTCGTCGTCGTCGTCGTCGTCGTCGTCGTCAACCTACGACGCAGCATTCTCCTTTGGCGTCAACGATCGGAGAAGGACGAGGACAAGTTAGTCGTGTAGGTTAGTACGCCAGCGAAACGATAATTAGTTAAGGAACTTTACGGTGCCCTTGCCTCGTCTATGAGTGGCTGATGCGTTCAGCCGATACTCCGCTAGCCTAGCAATCGTGAGCAGTCGCTCGTTTCCTCTCCTTTTAATCCATTGGGTCAAAGGAGAGGAAACGAGTGAAAACGAGCGACTGCTCACGATTGCTAGGCTAGCGGAGTATCGGCTGAACGCACCCATTATTTCACGTGAAACGTTGCTCTGTTTCTGAAGGGCTATTAGGCTATTCTCATCTACGCGCCTGACGAAAGAACGGTGGTGTACGATTTAGAAAGCTGCCTGTCATTTTCCACATAACATATATAATTATTTATAAATACGTAAATTTTATTTACAGAAAAAGAAATATGACGGGTTGCAGTGCAGATTACTGTACGAACTCATCGAGCAAAGGCTTCCAAATGTGTAGATTCCCACGAGAAGAGAAAAGAAGAAAAGTATTGTGCAGACTGGGTTCTTGGAGTGAGTTCGACATTGTGTTCAGTAAGTACAAACATAATATATTTATTTGACTAATAAGACTTCTTTTGAAACCAGTATTTAATTTTTCTTCTGCGACCAAGTGTCAGTTTTCTATTTCAAAAAATTTATGTGCAGGTGATGTTCACAACAATTCAGAAGAAATTCAGGAAACTGAAGGAAGTATTGAAGAACTGAAGGAAAAAACGCCTTTCGAAGAAACACTTGAACAACGATTTAATAGATTACAAAAATTATATGACAAATCGGAAAAATCTAGGATAGCTTTGAAAAAGAGTCTTATTGCAGCCAATAAACGGAATAAAAAATTACAACTTGTATACATGTAAAATTACAATTTGTCATCAATATATATTTTTTACGAATCATTAAATATTTTTTACAAAAGGAACTCTTGCGCACCAATTACCACTGAAAGAATTTGTTTATATTTTATTATTTGTAAATAAACTATAACTGTAAGAATTACTGTACAACATTTTCGGTATTTAAATATGAAATATTTTATTTTTCTCATTGTATAAGAATAATTCACTCATAAAAAAGTCATGTAAGGTTTCATTGTTGACATTTTTCCGCGATGCTGATTGCTTTTTTCGTAAACATCTATCATTACTTATTTTGACAGTTTGTGTATTAATTCGTTAATAGTATAATGTAATAGGAATTGTATAATTAAAGCTAAATAACATGCGCGTGGCGCGTGTCTGTCATGTCTAATTATATAAAATATACACATTTGCATTAAAACACGTTTGAGTTTTGCCGCTGAATATACCACTTCCGGTTTTGAGACAAATGGCGACGGTTAGTCCGATCCCTCTCTGGAGGATCCCTAGTTTCGAGATATGTACTACACAATCGACCCCCTGAAGGAGAGCTCACTTCTCTCCGATTTCAATGAAATTAGGCTCAATTCGTGCGTTTTCGCTTAAAACGACCGAATCTGACAGAAAAAAGCGTCGCTCTGCCCCGCGACACGAGATATTAATGCTAGGTCTACAATGCGAGTTGTAAAGTCGTGAGTCGTAAGAATTGACCAATCACAGTCGATTATTCTTCTCAAATTCGATTGTGATTGGTCCATTTCCTACGACTCACGACCCACGACTCGCATTGTAGACCCTGCATAAGCCTTAAGGGGGGAAACTCATGTCTTTGACCCTTTTTTTTGATAAATTTTTGTAAAGAACTGAGAGTATTTATTGAATCCTAATAAAATACATGATAATTTTGCCGATCAAATGTACAAGAAAAAATGTTTTTATAGTAGAAAAAATACAAAGTGCAGCTGCTCGAAGTTGTCGTCTAGATTTTGCGCGGGAGAATGCCCAGGTCCTTGTAATGAACTGAAATCAATGAACCAAAAATTTTTCGTTAAATTATGATCCTCCGATGCGCATGAACCTAAATTTAGCAAAAAAAAGAAATGAAAAATAGAGGACGTTTTAACAAAATTTAAAATTGTGAAATTTTTTTAAAACGTTTTTTATTTTTCAATTTCTTTTTTTTTTGCTAAATTTAGGTTCATGCGCATCGGAGGATCATAATTTAACGAAAAAATTTTGGTTTGTTGATTTCAGTTCATTACAAGAACCTGAGCATTCTCCCGCGCAAAATCTAGACGACAACTTCGAGCAGCTGCAGCGCCGCCATTTTGTATTTTTTCTACTATAAAAAAATTTTTTCTTGTACATTTGATCGTTAACATTATCATGTCTTTTATTAGGATTCAATAAATACTCTCAGTTCTTTATAAAATATTATCAAAAAAAGGGTCAAAGACATGAGTCTCCCCCCTTAAGAAATTGTTCAATTACAGTTGAATTTGAGGAGAATAATAATTGACTGTGATTGGTGATTCTTAGAGCTTAAGGCTTAAAACACCTATTGTAGACGGGCACTAAACGTTAAATTTGACAGGAATCAGGTTATGAAGAAATTGACCAATCACAATCGAGTATTCTTCTCACATTCCACTATGATTGGTCAATTTCTTATGGCTTAGAACACCTATTATAG